AGCCTGCGTGGACTAGGAACGCCTCGCGCGTTATTTTTCTGTCCTTTCCTAGGGTTTCCATAACACTTTTTAAGACAGAAATCTAGTCCCAACATAACATTTCATAGAACCACAGAAAAACTTCAGCTGATCCCTGCTCAGCTTGTCCACCAGGACTTCCAGGTCTTTCTGCCGCGCTGCTGCCTAGCCCAGCCCGGCCTGTTGCACAGAGTTGTTCTGTCCCAGGCGCACTTGCCTTTGCTGAAGTAGGCAAGACTGGCCAGCCCATGCCCCAGGTCGCTGGTCTGAATGGCAGCCCTGCCCTCCAGCAGATCAACTGCTTCTTCCTCCCCCAGTTTGGCGTCACGGACAAACTTGCTGACAGTGCGCTCTGCCCGCTCCTGGAGGTTGTTAATAAGGTGTTGAACTGCGTCAGCCCCATTACCAACACCTGAGCAATGCCACTGGGAGCCGTCCGCCCAGCAGCTCTCTAGCCATTAAGCACCACCTCATGCCCCCGATGCTCCAGCCGGTTCTCCACCCATCCCACCTCTACCTCCCCAGCTTGGCCAGCAGGATGCTGTAGCAGGCTGCGTCAGCAGCCTTGCGATAACACGCTAAGGCCCAAACAGTGTTCTCCCTTTGTCCACCAAAGCAGTTATCTCAGGAGATGAGACTTAGGTGCGATTTGCTCTTGGTCACTCTTGTCCTTCACGTGCCAGGAAAGGCCTCCAGAGGGCTGGAAGCTGGCTGCTGGCAGCTACGTGCTGTAACCCTTACCCAAACGTGAGCTGGTGAAAACTGTCTTAACTGGGATTAAACTTTATAAAGGCTCCAGGGTGTGCCGAGAGGCAGTACTCCCTCATTTCTACAAATTTTAAACTTCACCTCCAAGCTAGCACTCTCAAGACTTTTCCTGCAAGCATCACCTCCTGCACGTCTCTACGCAGGGCTCTGGTCTCCGTAGCTCTCCGGCTCTCTCCAGCCTGCTTTGGCTTCACTGTTTGCATCTCACTTCAGCACGAACACCCTGAACGCATCCTCGGTAAGAGCACATTGCCCATATGAAGCCCGGGCACACACGCGAGCGTACCCAGACACGCAGAGGAAGCACGTAACTGCTGCAGGTGCCACCACTCAGTAAGTCCAAGCACCTACCAGGAGGGGTGGCCCAAGATCACGTCCCCCTCCCGCCTCCTCCTCCCCTCCCTCCAGCTGACGCCAGCGCTCCTGCGGCAAACCAGGCTCGCGTGGTTGCACAGAGAACCAGAGCAAGGAATCAATTGACTGAAAGCTAATCCAATAAAAACAAATAAATAAAAAGGTTTAAGAGGATCAGTTTCCCCTCAACTGGTTCACTGTACGGCCACGCCAACGCGAGTGCCAGGACAAGGGATGGGAAAGAACGAAGCAGCAAGAGCTGCTGCCTCTTTCGGCTGGAGCGTGGACTGACGCCAGATATCCTAATTGAAGAATGACACATCAGGGGCGATGCTGCCCCAAGGGTCCCAGCGACAGCTAGAGACTACACCTAAAATAAGGAGCTCTGCAAAAGCTAGTTCATGCTGTGGGTTTTTTGTTTTTGGTTGGTTTGTTTTTGTTTGGGTGTTGTGTTTGTTGATTTTTTTTTTTTTTAAGTATTACACATGCAGACTGCCGCAGCGATCAACACTTTTTAGCTGATAATTCTTAAAAAGACTGCAAGTTAAATGAAAATGAAAACAACTAACCTAAGCTCTTCAGAAGCAAGGGGTTTTTTTTCCTTTTAGTAGATGCTCAAACATAAAATTATTTAATTTAGCTACCATTTAAACAGTCTGTGTCTGCCGTCTGTATTAAAAACGAACGCATGCTCTTTATTTCCACCGTCGTGTCTGCCGCGGGGTATTTGCGCGGAGCGTGCCGAGGGGGGTAGGTGCGGTTCCGCAGGGGTAGGTGCCCCCGCAGCCGGGCAGGGTGCCGGGTGGGGTGCTTTTTGGCACCACCAGGCATAGGAAGCAGTGCGAGATTCGGGGGCAGGCAAGCCCGCTTCCTGCTTCTGTTCCCTGCTGCACGTTCCAGCCGCGCCGGCACATCCCAGCGCACAATTCAGCACGGTTCCTACGTCCAGCAGGCGCCGAAAGAGAACAGCTTCGGCGGCTCTTCTGGGATCTTGCCCCCAATGCAAGTTTTAAGCAAAAATAGCCACCGCAGGGCACAACGGTGTGGCAAAGGCTGCAAATTCTTCCCCTCCACCCCGCAAAAGAAGTCCAAAGGCTCTCACAACATGACGGGAAAATAACAAGCTGATGAAAACCAAACCAACCCCGAGGCAAACCAGAAAAAGCTACATGTATTCAGGGCTTGTCCCTCTTGCTCACTCAGTCGCCATCAGAAAGCGTAAGGTGTGGCCCATCTTAATGAGTAACTGGCAAGGAATGCTTAGTTAACAGAGAGAAAAGGGGTAAAAAACCCGAACCCAAGCCCAACAGCTTTGCTAAAGAGAGCAGTATTTACGAGACTATAGTATGACAGGTTTTCTATAGGGAGATGAAGGGGCTAGGCAAGATGCCGTAGCTGCAGCGGTACCCCACTGGGAGCTGCAGTAGCACAGCCCAAAAGCTCCCCAGCTCCACGCCCGACCCGCGCGGCCCCTCGTCCCCAGCCTCCTGCTGCCGGCGGGACCATCCCTGGAAGGTCCCCAACTGGTCCCAGGGCAAGGCTAGATGGATTGGAACATTGTATTCCCTGACTGGCGGAACCGGCGCTGAAGAGAGCCGTCTCTGCAGCAGCCGCCGGCTGACTCCAACTCAGGGTACATGTGGAAGTGCGAAGAAAAAGTGAATATATAGCTACAGCCTAAACAATTACAGGGTTTCTATAAGCACCGCGCTATAGAGTTGTTCCATGACACCCCACGTGCCATGGTGAAAGAAATTAGTCAGAGAAGGTGGATGAAGAGGGCTTGAGGACATACAGAGTTTGTGAATGCTGGTAGATGCTGGTATACTACAATAACTGTCAACTTTATTGAGGACAAAAAAAGTCACACAACAGCCAATAGTTTGTTTTAAAAAACTGCACCCATTCTTTCTGCTGGAGGTTAGAGAAGAAAAGATTTCTTTTATGAAATAACTTATTAGTTCAGGCCAAATTAAGAAAAAAAGCGTAGAAAATTTGCTGTTTCCACAATACGAGCAGATGGCATTTCCTGCATCGAACTCTTCTGGGAGCCTGCAGCTGCACAGCAAAATTTATGTCCTTGTCAGCATCACGGATCCACCGCTGAGGCTCCCAAGATCTGCGGCTCCGGGCAGCCGGGACACAGAGACTTCCTCAGAGCCACAGATCCCAGGAGCTTTCCCACATGGCTCCTACCCTCCATCCCGGCCGTAATCCCATGGCACCAGACAAACCCTGGCTGAGCAGCACCCAGAGCCAAGGGGCTTGGTGGGTCTCCACCTCCTGGACCCTCCTTGGGACCACCAGATATTGCCTGCCCCGAGTGTGGTTGTCAGCTTGGATTCTCCCATATCATTAACCTTCTGCTTGCATCACCTTTGCACTCACCTGCAGATGTTTCTTAGATTGCACTTTTACTCATGCAGAAGCTAACACTCAAAATTACTTTTCCAGATATGGCCAAGCATTCTAGTTTATTTTTTTTTAAACTACACTGCTTGAGATCAGGCGGCTGACAGGGTTCCCCAAAGTCTCCTTGTGCCAGGAAGGCAATTAGAGCAATTAAGAGAATTCACCAAACTGACCGTAGATGACGATAGAGGTTTTACTGTAATAAACTACTGCTGAGATTTCTTCCAGGAACTCAGCACAAAAAGAACATGTTTAAAGTTGCTAGAACTCCCTAATCCTCCTTATCTGATATTTCTTCCTAGAAAAGCACGTTTTATTCAAATCTATTTCAATCCTAAGCATATTTCCTGAATGCATGAACAGAACTGAAAGTGTCACTACAAAAACACCTTTCAGTCTTGCTAGCAAGAGTCAGCCTGTGCAGGACTTCAGGGGGAAGTTTTTTCCCACATTTTAAAGAAATGTCTGTCCCTGGAGAGAGGAAGAAATTTGGCTTGCTTTATGTTATGCATTCAGTTCTGCACAATTCAGTATTGAAAGCCTTTTCATAAGCTTGAAAAATAATATGAAACATTTATTTTAATTTCAGTAAGAAATTAGCAAGATTTAGTAATTAACTGAATAGCAAGCTAGTTTTTCTCCTCCAGACTTCACGCAAGCATGACAAGTCTGTGCACAAAAAAAGAGGGGGGGGCAAAGGGGGGGGCACAGAGGAAGGAGCATGCTTGATAAAATAATTAACAGAAGAAATAAAGACATTCAGGACATTCAAATGAAACCTCATTCCACAGCAAAGATGAAAGCCAGGGTCAGCTTCCCAAAACCGATTAGGAGGGACAAGAAACATGATGGCATACTTGCAATCAGCAAGCCCACATTTTCTCAGCCTGCCTTAATTAGATTAATAAATGGATTTTTAAAAATAAATAGTATCTTCTGAATATCATGGCTCTTCCTCCCTGCATTTACATCAGTTGTAGTCTTCAGCAGGTGAAAAAAAGGTAAGACCCCAGAGGAAGCATGCAAGAGCTTTTAGCACACAGAGGATGAGAGGAAGGAACCTTCTTCCTCCGCAAGCCCACTCTTGCAACCCAGTACCCTTCCACTGCGATTAGGAGCGAACACTTGCAAACAGTACTCCGCAAGCAAACGTAACAGCTATTTCCACCAGGTGACCAACGCTGCCAGACATAGCAATGTACGAGTTTACAAGCTCTTGAAATAGGCTGCGCTGAGGAGGAGGAGGAGGAGGGGGGGGGAAGTGCTGGGCACTCCACTGCCATCCTCTGCTCGGAGCCCACGCCACCAACCCACCGCAGCGCTGGTTTGCACATGCAAAGGTCTCTTTCCACACTCACGCTGCCCACAGCCGGCGTAATAAAATCCATCTCCTCCTCCAATGGAGTCTGTCTCCCATCAAGCTCTATTGATTTTATTGTCTTTTATCTTCATGCAGATATGAAATATTTTTTGGTCATACTTTTCCTCCTTCAGAAGTCGCCATTACAACTTTCAAAAGACCACCCCAAGCCAAAATTTTCTCTCCCCTCACCTCCACAGGGAAGCCGCTTCAGAGGCCAGAGAGCCCCACTACAGCTCACCTGCACCACACAGCTACAGAGCTGGTCCATGCCCAACTGGGATTTTGTCTCTACACACGACCTAAGCGCCCTGAGGTGAAAAAGCAGCGGAGATCTATTTAAACCAGGGTGGAGAAACTACAGCCACCACTTCACTGGCAGAATTGAAGCTGCAACCCTCTCCCCTTGCTGTCCCACCCAGGATATGGGGCATCCCTCAAATGAGGGAAGGCCGAGAGACCTGGGGCTGCTTAGTCTGGAGAAGAGAAGGCTGAGAGGGGACCTTATCAATGTCTATAAATCTCTGAAGGGTGGCTGTCAGGAGGATGGAGCCAGTCTCTTTTCAGCAGTGCCCAGTGGTAGGATGAGGGGCAACGGGCACAAACTGCAGCAAAGGAAGTTCCACCTCTACCATGAGGAAAAGCTTCTTTACTGGGAGGGTGACTGAGCACTGGAACAGGCTGCTCAGAGAGGTTGTGGAGTCTCCTTCTCTGGAGACCTTCAAAACCCGACTGGACGTGTTCTTGGGCAACCTGCCCTAGGTGATCCTGCCTTGGCAGGGGGGTTGGACCAGATGATCTTCAGAGGTCCCTTCCAACGCCTACCATTCTGTGATTCTGTGACATCCACGCACTCCTTTGCCCTGCAGCATGCTTACCTAGGTGCTCTCTGGTCTGGGGGACAGGGAGACATCAAGAAACTCCCTCGTATTACCACTCTGAAACAAAGGACACTGGCTACAGATGAGCTGGACTATTCTTAAGAACATACAATTTAAGACTGAATTAATTTCTTTCCAGGCCTCTGTATTTTGCTGTTCAGAAGTCCAGACTTAGGAGCACAGATATTTCTGTGTGCTGGACAAAATGCTTTGGATTCCCAACAGTTTTATTTCAGGCTCAGTAAGTTCTCAGTTAGGAAGCTCCATACATTATTTAAAGCCAGACTGTCATCACCACTAAGCACAGCTAATCACTGCTCCCATCATTACTCAAGAGAAACACCGTAAGGGAAGTTATATGCTACCTGGAAGAAGAACTGCTACAAAGAAGGTGCTGCTAACTTTGCGCCCTTGCTTTTGGACTGTACCTCTAGCCTAATGAGGCAGAGGCGTGCCAGACCAATTACATTAATCTACAGTTTAGTTTGCATTTCCACTACTGCAAAGCCAGTGATAACCTTCTTTAAAACCAGTTAAGTGATGAATTGCATGGTACGGCAAAAGTCCTCAAGTTGAGTGTGTTCAGTGTAGAGCTAGTTGTAATATTAGATCCTTACTTTCCTCCTACCCAAATCCTAATCTTTCAACATTTTTGCTAGATGCATGCTATTCTTTCCAGGTAAAATAGCATGAATCAATACCTCCTCCCTACATTTTCAGGTCCCACTCTACCCCTTGGACATTTGAGCACTCCTTCAGGTGACATACCCCATGGCTGCTTGGCACTAGGATAATAAAACCATTCAGTACACAGATGTGACTCTTTTTCAATGTTTACTCGTTATCCCAGCATTTAGTTTGGGGTTCAGGTAAGGTTTCCTACCAAAGCCTCAGTCAGAACTGAGGTACCCTCTTGAAACAGCAGGTACAGAGACTGTCCCAAAGCAAGAAGCCTACAGATTGAAGTACAAATACATAACAAGTAAGCTTCAAAACCGAACCACCCCAGGAGGCCAGACCCCTGGCTGACCTCCAAAACCCACAAGGAAAAGTCCCAGCCCCTCCACAGAAACAGGGAGCTGTACTAGGTACACATGAACCTGTGATTGCAAGGAGACACCAAAGACATGTTGTGCTTCACCGCCAGGTGGGACCAGCCAAGTAGGTCTGCCTACTTGGCATGATCGCAGTTAACAAGATCAATTTACAGCCAGATATTCTACCATAATATGACTTTACTAGTGATAGCCCAGTTGCCCTCTTTGTCACAATCAGTACATAAGCTACATTTCTACCAATTACTCTTCAGTCTCTATAACCTTTCCTTTTTCCAGTTAAAGCTTATTTAGCTTTAGCCCAAAATTTATGGCTCCCTGCAACCTGCAAAAAGGACGTTCTTGTTTCTCAGCTAATTACCTCACTGCCTCCATCCTCAAATAGAGCTGATCACTTAATACATTTGTAAGAGAGAAAAAGTTGTGCAGTATCCTACTAATTTTAAGATTAGGAACCACAAGTCAGTTCTGTAAGTATCTTCTTCCAAAAGCAAAAGACATCATGTTATACTTTATCGCAGCAAAAGAAAAAACAGAATATGCTGTTTGAAGAGACTTCAAAAATTCTTCAGCCTGATAGGTAAATATAGTTCATTCTCTAGGATTGTTGGAAGTAGTTCAATTTATAGGAAGTTACATCTGGGTTACATACATGGCAGGGGGAATACTCACCGTATCTGAAGTGGTACATAAGTAAGTTATATGAGCAATGTCAGCTACTTAAAAAAAAAAACAAACACACACCCAAAGCCTGTCTGCTGCGCAGCACGATGCCTCCTCCCCTCGGTGCCCGCGACGGGTAAGCCTCCTCTCCAGCACAGCCACAGTCTTGCAGCCCGGCAAAGCCCTTGCCTTCAGCAGACCCTCTGCAAGCTGGCAAAACGTCCAGAGATCCAACTACAGGATCTGAGCTTTCGACCGCAAGCTCTTTACAAATCAGGAGTAATACAAGCTCCTGCTCCGAAGTACTTGACACATTTCCAGTGGTGTCATATGTGAAGTATTTACTACTGTTTTTCAAGCACTAGCTCATTAAAAAAAAGAGAGTGGCTGAGGGACAGAAGGCTGCAAAATACCATGAGTTTAAAAATAACACTCAAGACTACTGCAACAGTCTCTAGGTAACCTGGACTCCTACTTTTACACATTTTTCTGCCCCTGTAACACAGAAAAAACAGGTTTTGGAGACACTCTTTAAGCGGATTCCAACAGGTGCTTTTACAGGGGGATGGGAAAGTTCCTTTTTTAGCATAAATCCTCTGATCAGCAAGCAGCTACTATTTTTTGTAGCATGTAATTTCAGAAAAACTACCTCTCGTTCTTCACTTAGAAGTCACGCTTTCCTTTAGGAGCTACAAAATTAAATCTTCTTCTGATAAATTATTAAGCTGACTAAACCATTTGCTGTTCCAGGAGTCATGACAGCTGTCTACCATGGTGTGTTTTGTTTTTTGGGGGTTTTGTTTTGTTTTTTAATGTCTGATACAACAAAGACTTACTTCTTTACTACTGGAAAATGTTCCCAAGATCCTGTGAGGAAGGAACAGTCGGTAAACCTCTTTTTTACTGCACCAGAAAAAAGACAACTGACCTTATCTTCTAATAGCAAACTTCTAGAAATAGTGTACAAAAGAAGATGCCATTAAAGTGTACTTAATACACATAATTCACATACAGGTGCATGTGGGCGCTCTCTAGCAGTTTTCTTTGAACAAAGCAATTTCAGTGCAAGTGCACAAGTCCTTCGAAAACAGTAGCAGAATTAATAAAACACATGGCATCAGTCACCTTTATAAAAATGTAAGCACAGTTTTCTAAAGAGAGTTTAGCAGCAGAAAGGGACTCTGCTGCTTCTGACCTTGACCCATGACTAGCACAGAAACTCTTCACCTGACAGGTCTGCAGTAGGATAGCACCACCACCCCACCAAGAAATTCTGATCATCTTCCCCCACCCTCCCTTATCTGCAACAACTCAGAAGCAGGCTTGGAAGAAAAATGCCCCAGCAAATAATTTCAGGGGCATAGAAGAACACTTGCCCATAGCTATCTCACTCATGGCTGTAAGCACTCAGCTCAAGTCCCAAGAATGCTTGGTTGGAAGCTTGCTTATGCCATGGTCTCCAAGAAGAGGCGCCAGTGCCACAACCTGGCATTTACCAAGCAGGAAAATCCACAGCAGTTGCTCTTGAATCAACCTGCACTGAATGCCTGCAGCTTTAACAGGTTGAGAGCTGGTATGGAAGGTGAACAGATAAGACACTTATTTTCTATGTGCAACATTGCTACGTCTGGGTTTTTTTAACCTACTTAAGAGTTACCAATGTAAAGGTGAGGCAAAGGGGAAGGAAAAGCCAAAGTTACACATCAACTACCCACCTACCTATCCAGTACACCAAGAACAGTGTAGTTGAATGTTTGCAAAGACAACTATGTGAACAACTGTCTACACAGACCAGAGCAGACAGGACAGGACAAAGAAGGCCATGACAGTTTGCAGATGCCCTGTACTGAGGTCAAACAACCTCTGACTTGCTGCTCAAGCAAAGCAGCAGCCACAAGCTCAGGAGCACAGAGGCAGCATCAAGCCCCTCGCCACGCAAACTCAGTGCTTGACATGAGAGGGCAACGGTGGTACGGCGACCCCGAGGAGGTGACCCCCCAGCACACCACCCAAAACAGCAAGCAAGGCCCAAGGGGAACAGGAACCAGTACTGACACCATTGCAAGAGGCTCCGTCTGCTTGCGAACAGGCATATTTTGGCCCGAGACCTTGTCCTCGCACAACTGATGCTCCCTTTACGCCTCTTTTCTACTGCCTCCTGGCCTGCCCCCTGAATTCAATTCTTATGAAGGGAGAATTTGGAAGGCACCAGATATACTTCCATGAATTGCTTGACCACGAAATAAATTAGTGCTGAGTAGCCACATTAAACTTTCTTTTGGATCAGTCCAATGGTGAACCTCTGGCCTGGGATGAGCAAGGAAAAACATCTCCCTGCCCAGGTCTGGCCAAGAGAGGCAGATCCTTCTCTGGCCACCGAAGCCCAGGAAAGCTCCTACATTTTGTTTCTAACACCCCAGACAGTACCCTGTGGGCTGCGTTTCAGCGCACGGTTCTCCCCCCCAGGAGATGCAAGACGGAGCATCTCCAGCAGCATCTCCCTGCAGCACACCGACTCTGACCCTACATCGGGCTTGATACAAACTCCCCTCCTCTCCTTGGCCTTTCCTGCACTGTCCTTATCCACTGGGAACTGAGATCCATGCAGAGGACTTAGGAAGAAAAGGCCCCCTTTGCAGATATATCTACCCTTAACTCCACTGTGCTTTTAA